GCAGAAAAGAGACATAGGTGGACCTCCAAATAATTGGATGCTGGGATACAGACTGGGCAGGCAGTCCCTGTATGTGTCTCATCACCTCAGCGTGGGTGCTTGATCGCCTGTGGGACAATGTGGCTTCCTCCATCTACAGAGAATAGACCCAACTGTGGTCTCTATAGCTTGTCTCTTTCAGGCATAGTCACCAGACAGACTAACTCAATCTTCCCAGTTTACTTGCGTATAATTTTAGAGAAGACTCACAGGATTCCAACCTAGAACAGTGGTTCTCTATTGGGCAGTAGTTACATAAGGAAAGCACACGCAGGATCCCATAGATATTCACATTCCTTGTGAAGATACAGAAGCCCTAAGGCTGATTCGCATGTTCTGATCATTTTTTTTTTCTGGTGGGAAGTAGGTATTAATAGCAGTACCAAAGGCTGAGGAAATGAACAAACAACGGCTAGAAGAGGCCATGTCTTCAGTACGCACAAAGCAGACATTAGTAAAAATGAGCCAACAATGATTTAGTTCCTACAAATTTGTCAAGGACATTCAAAACAAACACATTAAAAAGGGATTGTTCACCATTCGTGTGTTAGGCAAGTAATAATGACGTCTCTATTAAACATATTAATGTTCTTGAGAGCTTCTAAAGTACTGTGGAACTTCAAAATATTTCCCAGTTTCAGAGAATTAATTAGCTCCCCTGTGGAGAAGCTCACAAGTGATCTTGCCATTTTGGAGATAGAATGATTGAGTTGGAAAGGCAAGACATGTTGAATTATTCATCTTTCCCGTGAGTATATATCAAGTATATACTCTAAGCATGGTTCTTTGCTGAGGGTCATGGAGACATAAAGTGACTGGAAAAGAGTCTCTGTTCTCGAGGAACCTACCATTATAATAGGGTAGGCCAACTTGCTAAGCACTAGTCCTAAAACAAATCAAAACACAGGACCCAGGTGAGACAGACCAACATGAGAAACCAGAGAGAGTGATGGGATAAGACTGGAAGGAGAGACTCACTGTAGACGTCTCTAAAAGCCATAATCAAGAATCTGATCTTCATTACATGAGTTCAACATTAAAATTTAAATATATAAATAAATCATCATTAAGCCACTTCATGGACTACTTCTCCAAATGTTGATGAGATTATCCCAATAAATGTAAGGCACATTGATCTGTTTGCCTAAATTATCAAGATGGTCATGTTTCCCGGTGAATTTTGGATTCAAATTCGTAATGTTATGTGAAGACTGGCTAAATTTGTATAATTGGCAATACTAAGGCATCCAGGCCTCATCATCTTTCTTCAGGCTGTGTGTGTGTGCGTGTGTGTGTGTATGTGTGTCTGTGTGTGTCTGCAATAAGGAAGTCTTAGGAGAACCTGCACAGAGGAATACATGGAAAGGCTTCCCTGGAAGCAAGTCAAGGTTCTAGCTCTCAACTGCTATCGAGATCTTGGTCCAGAGCAAACAAAGAACGTGCCAGACAAGAGTGGGTCATGTGGAAAGGGTATTCTTCTCTTCTAAATAAAGAGGTTCCAATGTGATTGCTATGTGGCCAAAGTAAACCTACTCTATGTGCTTCATTCAAATTCCAAATTCAGGGTAAATAAATGATTCCTGGTAGTTGAAGTCAAGAGCCTTTAAGAAGGTTTGTGTTTAACTAGAGTATCTTCCACAAAGGATGCTGGATAATGACAATCATCAGGAAAACGTTACATTTGTTTGACAGCAAGATTCAGGTTTCAGCAACACAATTCGTGTGCTCAAAGCAATACAATTTTATGCTTGTAGAGTTCCAAGGGGAGAGAACATAATTCAACATTTAAGGAGTTTCTTTTACATACAAATGACCTGGAACAAAAAAAAAACATAGTGTTTTTTTTTTTTTAACAACATGCTCCTATCTCTAAAGTTATACTGAAAACATCCACAAATCGTTTTCTCTTTCACATTTTTTACAACATTTGTAATACATGTTGAAAATTTTCCCAAAGGATCCATCTCAGATGCAGAAGGGCCATTGCTATGGCTGTGAAGTTCACCAAATCCTATAAGCCTGTAATCAGTAATCAAAGTCACAAATATAGTGTGCGATGTCTCCTTTCTCCACCCTCCCTCCCCCCATTTTTTGATTGGCTGTCAAGACAGGGCAAGGGTAGCAGCCAATCAGCTCTTCATATTAAACAGCATATTTTGCAGAGTTGGATTTGATTCCTGGTTGCTTCAAAACAAATCTAAGCTTATATCAGAGGTGACAAACTCCATGCCCTGTCATTTATCCTTTTTATGGCATGGGTGACACCAGCAGTCAACAAGTCATGTTGATGACTTGCTGATGAATCAACTAAAGCAACCAAAACCCACAGCTTTCCCATAGCAATGTTTGGAAATGCTTTGTTATTTTACTTAAAAAGTGACTAACTTAAAAACAACTTCTACTGTTGCATAAAATATAAATTTTACTTGTTGGTTACCATAGAAATATTTAAAAGACATCTAATACTTCATGTAAAGGCATTTAAGGATAAGGATGACTATTTGCCACTATAGTATTACTAGAATTATTGCAAATTTTTTCTCTCCTTTTTTATTCTTTCTCTCTTCCAATAAATATGTTATATCTTATACTTAGCTTAGTGGTTAAGATCCTCACCTTGAACACCAGGATCCCATATGGGCACCGGTTCTAATCCCGGCCACCTCACTTCCCATCCAGCTCCCTACCTGTTGCCTGGGAAAGCAGTCGAGGACGGCCCAAGACTTTGGGACCCTGCACCCACGTGGGAGACCTGGAAGAGCTCCTGGCTCCTGGCTTTGAATTGGCTCAGCACCAGCTGTTGCTGCTGCTTGGGGAGTGAATCTTCGGAAGGAAGATCTTCCTCTCTGTCTCTCCTCTCTGTATATCCACCTTTCCAATAAAAAATAAATAACTCTTGAAAAAAAGCTCCACTAAATTTATGCCACAGTCATCATTCACAATAAATCCAACTCTTTATCAATAATATCCGTATAATGTCTTATATTCAGTCTTACACATTTCAAATTACTGCATCATTTCTCTCTTGTTGAACATTTTAACTTAGTTCTATTTCCTTCTGACTTTCCACTAATACAAACAACATTGACATGAACCTCTTCATAGATAACATCTTGCTATTCATCTGTTGGTTGTTTCCTGATGATGAATTCTTAGAAGCAGGGTCATTTGAACAGCAGTCATGCGCAATTTTGATGCTTTCATTAGAAATACCAAATGTCTGTTCAGGCAATCCACATCAAATCACATACTTACTATCTATATAAATCCATGCCTTCAAATCTTATTTATTTTTGTAATACTAAAAACCACATCCTTTTTAATATTAGTATGATACAATGTTAGAATATCTCATAGGAGTCATTTTGCTTGATAGTCTTTTTCATAAGGCATTCCTGATTGGCAGTTTTCAACCCTGTAACTCACAGAAGTGGGAGACAAAACAAGGAATGAGTCAAAGCATCCCTAAACTACTAAGCGCATTGCTTCTCCTCTCGGTGTGGAAATAATGCTAAGACTACTCTAAAATGCATCCAGAATAAGAAGCCTCCTTGGAAACGAGGAACCTTTGGCAGACTTTCAACGCACTTGACACAAGTCATGGATAAAGATTTCTTGGTCATTCTCCACCAGGAATAGGTTTGTTCTAGGTGTTGGTAGCTGCTGGCATAACTCTCGCACTATGCAGTCATTTCGTATCTAGATTTCCTTTGGCCTTTGGGAATTCTGCAAACACAAGAGGAATGGTCAGCAGAAGAAGTAAATCGTGTCAAAAAAAAATAATAAATGAGATGATTTTACACACTCCCCGTAAAGGAGATGAGAGTGCGTACACATGGTGGTCCCCCTCCAGAAGCACTTCAAAGTTTGTCATCCAAGTCCCTGCAATGTTGGGGCCACCAGGATGCAGTTGCTCTTCAAGGAGAGAATGACCTTCAAAAAAGCATTCTTTCAGTACCATTAGATACAAAACACTGCTGAATGTTGCAATAGGAACAGGTTAGAAAATACAGAAAAGTGAAAATCTACTGACATGTAAGATTTGCAAGCAATTGATGCAAGAAGTATTGAGGTGAATGGAAAGGCTAGGTTTACCTGGGAGCAAGCCAAGGGATTAAAAAAAAACATTTTAAAAATATCTTTGCGAAAATCAGTCGTGGTGGTGGTGGGGTTGGTTCATGTACCCCAAGTTGGATTATCATATAAATGTAATAATTAATAAAATAATGAAATAGAAATATTGCTAAAGCCAAGTTTCCCATATTAAAAAAAAAAAATCACACACACACACACACACACACTTTCTAAAGGGGCTTCTAGTCTCCATTTTAGCAGCACATCAGAAGTGATTCCTGAAAAAGGAATAGAAAATCGAATGTTAGCAATAAAAGCAGACTTGTTCATGGTGAGGACAGGGACCAGAACCCCACCTCAAAACTTCCAAGTTCAGCAACCGCAGGGCAGACTTCTTTCTGAAGCAATGGAGTAGGGGAGGAGGAGATTCTTATTCATGCTCCCCGACAGTACTTTGCACCCACTAGGCAATCATTTGATTTTAAGCATTCCCTGGCACTCCACCAAAAGCAATGGAACCACCGCCACGTTTTGCTTCTACCAGCTAGATGCAGCTGGTTTCTCTGTAGTTAGGAAAGCAGGAGAAAAAAAAAAAAATGAGGCGGGGCGGGCGGGGGGGGGGTGGGTTCTAGCATCTGCAAGTAGAGCTGGTGTGAGGAAGGAAGGCAAGAACAGCCGGAGGGGCTCAAACTCCCACCTGGGCTCTTCTCCCCCTGCAGCCACAGCTCCGCCCCTTCTGTTGGTTCCGGACACCTTCTCCAGCTCCTCCAACCCCCAAGCCCGAGGCAAGGCTGCCGGACTAGCGGGTTAACGGTAGGGCTTTGCTGTTCACATTCTTTCCCTGCCGCTCTGCGAGTCCCCAGCCACCTCGCCCATCCTCCCTCAGACCCAGCTGGGGCTTGGAGGCGATTCCCCTCTAGTGACTGAGCCGAACCGTCTGCCTCCTGGGCAAGCGGCTCTTGCCTCCTTCGCTTCTTTGTCTCCTCCTCCTGCTGGGCTCCAGCTCCCAGCGCAGGGTCTGCAGCAGCCACCGCTGCAGCCAGAGCCTAGGCGTGCCCCGCACGGCCGCCTGGGGCCGCACCCTCACTCGGTGGCTGCGCCCGAAGACGCCAGCCGCGCCACGCACCGCCTGCATCCCGCGCCTAGCCACGGCGCATCCACGCCACCGCTGCCGGCGCCGCCGTAATCCAGGAGCCGAGCCCGCTCTGCCAGCTTGGTCTGCGGTGGGCAATCGGGTTTGCAGCCGGTTGGAGGAGGCGGCCGCTGCAGCCTTTAGCAGCTGTCACACCGGTAGACCTACGCACCCAGCGCCTCCTCCCTGCGCTACGAGGATGGAGCAGCAGCCCCGGCCCGGGACTGGCGCAAGGTAAGGTGCAGCCGCCTGTTGCTTTTCGCAGAGCGCGGGTTTGTTCCTTTGTCCTGGTGCCTAGGCCGCGCCTCCCAGAACAATTAGAAAAGAACTATTATCCCATCCTGAGCCGTGTCTATCTAAGCTCCCCTGGGCTCTTTAGCGCAAATCTTTGGGGAGACCCGTTTGGAGAGGGTGAGTAGACCCTCTCTGCTCCAGTGCATCTGACTGCCATGCACTAGTCTGTAAACTTTTGTATCCCCTCCCCTGCTCCCCACCCCATGCGTTGATCCCCGGTGCATTGCAAGTTCCTTGCCTAGTTCTCATGTGCACGCTCCCCCACCCTCCTGGCGGAATGCAATGCATCAGCCCATTTCTCTCTGGTGAGCTTGCCAGTCGACTTTTCACTTCCCGCAGCTCCCGCTGGAGATGTGAAGGTTTGGGACCCATTGGTGCTCATCCTGCCTGTAGGCAGGAGCAGAGGAGAAAATAAGAGAAGTGGGGCACGGGGGAAGGCAGAAACCACCCCCGAGGCTCTGCCCAGTGCAGTGGGAGTGGGTCCACCCCTGTGCACACCACCCCCAACTCGTAAGGAAACCCTTGGTGTGGCTGTGAGCTGTGCGCTGTGAGAACTGCAAGTGCAGATCCGGGTGGGGGAATGAAGTGGTTAGGGGAAAGGAAGGGAGCTAGGGGAGGGTGGAAGAAAAAGCTGAGGGTCCACGCAGCTGTGCCCACAGGTGAGCGGGGGTCGAAAAGGCTTTGTTGACCAGCCCAGAACGGTCATCTGACAAGAAGGAAATGAGAACTGAGTCTGGAAGGCACTGGTCTGGGTGTGTAAATGTAAGTGGAGGAGGGGCTGGGCACCTGGGAAGACTCAGAGACCTGGAATAGAGCTTTGGAATGGCGGGCCAGGGGAACTTGAAAAAGAGAAGCTGCTGGGTGTCTGGGACAGGGCGCTCTCCCTTTCCAGAAGCAAACCGATCTCCCAGCAAGAATCTGAATGCGTTGGTTTCTGTGGTGGTCAGGGATGATCTTCCTGGCTTGAAGTAGATCATAGCCTTTTCTCCCACACAGGCTTGCTTCTACACCCATTCACCTCCGCAGCCTTGGCAGTAGACCCACGCCCACCCTCGGTGCCAGGAGCTTGGAAGTCAAGGATTTCTCGGTAGCCGCAATGTGGGAAGGGGGTAATGCCTTCCACCAGGCAAGTAGGCAGGGGCACCCAACTGGTTGGAGAGCAGGGGCGGAGGCTGTTGCGGGGGGAGCCCAGGGCTCAACACTGCCCTCCCCGCAACTAACACCCTGCCAGGACTTCTTTCTCATCCCATCCCCCCACCCCTACAAATCGCACCTGGGGGAGTGAAGGAGTGGGAGAGCCCTGCTCTTGGGAAAATCCGGAGGGAAGAGCTGGAGCCTGCGCTGGGGAAAGGCAAAGTAAGAGGGTGTGAATGTTAGGCGAGGGCAAATTCAGCTCCCGGTCTAGGGTCTGCCCTTCCTATTCCAGAAGCTTTGGCGGGTGTAAACCGAAAAGGGTCTTTCCTCTTGAGCTGGATCGCAACAACTTTGGCGGGAGGGGACCCTTCCTGCGGCTGCGTAAAGGGGCAACCAACCCTTTCCAGACTCCACCTTCTGCTTTTCCCACGTGTTGGGGACAGGTGGTGGGGCACACACTTGATGCCAAGGCTAGGAAGCCTCTCACTTCGCCCTTCTCTCCCCAAAGAAGCACTTGCCACTTGCTTAGTCTCTTCATAGGCTGAGAATTGCAGATTCTTAGTGGCATTCAGAGGTCGCTTGGGTACAAACGTCTGAGCCTGGGATTCAGGCCACCCACCTTCAGACTTCTAGGGGCATATGAGTCTCTGCGAAAGTCTGATAGATGCCTCCTGCTCTCCTGCATATGCAGAATTGCAGCGTAATCACTTTTCTAGGTCCCATAACTTGGCCAGATTCTGCAGAAAGCCGGAACTCCCCAGGGTTCCTGGGAGGCACCAGAGGTCTGACACTCCTTTTCCAGGGCACTTCTGGAGCAGTGAGCTCCCTGCCGCCCCGCCTCCGAACCCAGGCCCCCTCCGCAGCAAACTCTCAAGCCCCAAGGCACAGAATGGTGCAACTTCCCTGCAGCAAGGCCTCACCCTCCTCTGGCCAGTTCTTATGGCTGATAGAGTGCAGGATTCCTTGCAATTACCATTTCCAGGATACCAGTTCATACTTCAGCACTGAAAATAATTTCCGAGGTCCGGTTTCTTTCTCAGTGCTTCTCACCTTGGGGTTGTGCTCTGACTGCTTCTGTTTGCATGGTGAAACAGGTTTAGACATACTGTTGGGGGTCTTGGAGGAAGCCCCATATTCCTACTCAGGTCATTTTCTCAGGTTGCCTTAGGAAGACATGATAACAAGGACAGGCAAGCTAGCATTTATTGAATATTTCATGTGTTCCTCTTGGTTTCAAGCAGTACAACAATTCTGAAAGGTAAGCGGATGAGATTGTCCAGTTTTATAGACGAAGGAACTAAAGCCATGGAGGAATTAAGTTATTTGTTCATTATTGTCCACCCTTAAGGGATGAGGTCGGTTTCTGTCCTCAGCAGACTGTGTCCCGTACATCCCACGCTCCCAACCCAATTTGGCACTAAGATCCTCCATAAGGAAACATGGATGATGTCCCCGATCCTTTACTCCCAATGTTAAGATCATATGAGATACGTGTGGTTGTTACCTGTCAGCTCCTAGACGAACGGGGACATTGGTGGTGCCTAGTACCTGTCTCCGAGTCGGTTGGGTGGCACCGTGGCAGAATAGAATGCTAGGATAAGAAGTTGTTAGGGAATTGGCTGTTGGCATTGGACTTATGAACTTGTTAGTAGAAATTCCCTTTTTTTTTTTTTAATATAAAGAAGTATAGGGGAATAGATCCAAATGTGAACAGAAATTTGCTCATGGGTAACACTGCAGAAGCAGTGTGAGATAACACCGTACATCCTGCAGACCAGTGCTTGTCTGGGCTTGAATCACAGAGTGGTAGGGCGAAAAGGAATGTCAGCTACCATCCCTTCCAATGCAGACACTGCGAGAAGAAGCCACACTGAGCTCAGTCCCTCACTGTATTTGGAGAGCTGATGTTAGAACCACCCTCTTTTGAACTTTCACCAAATAACATAAATGTATGAATATATAGGTTATTTTCACTGCTCCTATTTTTCAAACATCTTAAAGATTTTTAAAAATTAAAAACAGAAGCTTTTTCTTTTTTATCCCACAAATTCATTTCAAGTAATGTAACCAGAAAAATTCACTATCCCATATGTATCACCAATGTGCCTCTTTAGTAAAAATTGAGGAAAAAAAATTTTTTTAAAGATTTATATTATTTTTATTGGAAAATCAGATATACAGAGAGGAGGAGAGACAGAGAGAAAGATCTTCCGTCCGATGATTCACTCCCCAAGTGAGTGCAACAGCCAGTGTTATGCTGATCCAAAGTCAGGATCCAGGAACTTCTTCCAGGTCTGCCACGCAGGTGCAGGGTCCCAAGAGTTTGGGCCATCCTTGACTGCTTTCCCAGGCTACAAGCAGGGAGCTGGATGGGAAATGTAGCTGCTGGGATTAGAACCGGCACCCATATGGGATCCCAGTGTTTTCAACACAAGGACTTTAGCTGCTAGGCCACACCGCCAGGCCCGAGATAAAATTTTTATAAGCATTCAAATCAACACAAATTAGCCATGCAACCCTTTCAATGATTCTAAATAGATTCCCAATCATTGTAGTGAAGTAGTGTTGAATAGCTCTATCATGCTATATTCCCAATTTGTGAAAATAAGAAAAAAAATCGGTACATCAGAGGGGAAAGTTATTTGAATGCAGCGTTTTGCCTCCCTGGATCTCTGACACTTGGATTAAATCCTATGCTCACATTAATGAAGAACAAAGCAATGCATTCCTAGTGGATGCACTTGGGGTGCAGGAAAGGAGGTGCCCCTTCATCCAAAAGGCGTTGTCCAGCTACTTAAGGGATTCCATAGACGCTAGAATTCTGGTTTGTCGGAATACTGTGTCTTTCCTTGGTACCTTCAGTACCAGACTTCCCCTAGGAGACAAACCAATAGAAAAAAATCCACTGGAATAAACAAGAAGGCCGAGAGAGAAAACCCCACTAAGAATGATACCAAGGAAGAAGTCTTCCTCACTTCCTTTCCTGCCCACCATCCTCCGTCTGCATCAGCTTAGCTGATCTGAGTTGCAGAGTGTAAGGAGTTATTTGAACGTCTCACCCGGGACCCAGCACCATTTCCTTTTCCTCACAGCTCAGGAAATTCATGCCAGTCCAGCCGTCCACCTGATGATCCCACCCCCAATTTCCCAGCCCCTTCCCCAACTCTGCCCGCTTACCAATCACTGTTAGGCAATCACCTGTGACAGTCTCAGGCACCAATCCCCTGGGGCCTGCTCTCCATCCCTCCCAACGCCTGCCCCACACCTTGCAAGCTCACCTGAGTGACAAGAAGCAGCCCAGGTGCGGCTCTGTCTCTCTCTTCTTCTTCTGCCTTTTCCTCTCCTTCCTCCTGGCCTCGCCACAACCCCGTCCTGTTCCTGCCCCGCTGGAATAAACCTCCTAAGATAGCTCATCGCGCCTGGTGTTTTCGGCTCACAGTAAAGATCCGGGCTGTGGGAGTTAGCTGCGCGTAATATTGCAATAATATCATAATAACTAGAACTTTAACTTTTAAAAATAACTAACACAGAGTGTGCAGTTATCTGAGAGAGACTTATTTCTTTTTATCTTTAATTTATTTTTGTGGGAAAGTCAGATAGACAGAAAGGGGGAGAGACAGAGAGGAAGATCTTCTCTGTATCGATTCACTCCCCACGTGGCCTCAAAGGTTGGAGCTGAGCCGATCAGAAGCCGGGAGCCAGGAGCTTCCTCCAGGTCTCCCATGTGGGTGCAGGATTCCAAGTCTTTGGGAAGTCTTTGGGACACCCTTGACTGCTTTCCCAGACCACAAGCAGGGAGCTGGATG